TAAAATTTATATAACTCGAATCAAATCAAATTGAAAGATTTTATAAAATAAATTTGACTTGACTCGACTCAAAAAAAATGAGTCGAATAGAGTTGGTCTTTAAACTTGACTCGACTCGACTCATTCGGAACTCTATCTCTATCTTCATTAGATAAAGAAAGCAAAATTTCAGTTTTCTTTTAACAGTTTTATACTATTTTTTTATTCACGCAATTTCATGCTTTTGCAACATAATTTATTGCTTCTTTTATATTAATTCTTTTACTATTTATGTCTTTTTTATTTTCGAATAGATCTAACATATAATGACAGTACTTTCTCTTGAAGTAGTTTTTGAAGCTTGCAATGATTTCAGCATCAAGTAGTTGAAGATGACTTGTAGTATTAGAAGGTAAAAAAGCCACTTTAATATAAATTAGTTAAAATCAGAAAGTATCAGATTGATGTTCTTCTAATCTATCATGATTATTACAACTTTTTGATCTACCATAATTACCATAACCTCTTAGTCCACCACTACCATGACTGCTACAACTTCTTAGTCTATTATCATTATGACTGCCATGACCTTCTAATCTACTACCATGATTACTATGACCTCTTGATCTACCATCTTAATCACTAAGACCTCTTAAAGCTCGACTTTTTATTATCATTAAATTATATTACATAATTAGCATATAAAAAAAATTAAAATAAAACAAAAAATAAATAAAAATAAAAATAAACCTAATCTTACCAGATGTAGATGATTAATCTTCATCATCTTTATCTTGATTAATTTCTACAGTTGGTAAATAATATGGATTAAAATGTAATAAAGTATTATTAACTAGAAGTAAAATTTTTTTATCTTATGCTCTAATACAACTGTCCATTTTATAAAAAATCTCTTCAAATATTGACGAGTTCATTCAAGCTTTAGGATTACCTTAATAATAAATGAGAAAACGCTTCAAATTAATCTTTGAAAGAGGCCTTAAGTGCTTTGAATTGCTAATTATCCATAATTTTAACTTGTTAGTTCCTGTTGTATTCACGCTAAAAAGAACTGTAATTCATATTTTATCTTTCTTTCAGCTAGGAACTGATTTTGTTGAAAGTGTTTGACTTGAAAGCATTCGATAAAAAAGGCCCTATGTTCAAAAAATAAAGAATATTAGCTAATTACACAAATTATATCATATTTTATACTACAATACATGCATTTCTAATTATACACATATTCAATCAGACTATAACATTTTACATTAGTCTTTAAAACTTCTAAAAAGTACAAATTTCACAATTCTGAAAACAATAGTGATAACAAAAACTGGAAAAGACTTACTGTTTTATTAATATTGTAAATTTGATCAGGAGTATATTGACTTAAAATTGATTGTAATCTTGTACGTTTTTCTAAAAGAGATACTAAAGGTATACTTTCTGATTCACTATATATGCAGTATCTACAAATATTTTACATCTTTTAAACTTATGTAGCCAACCTTTAGAAAAAGATAAATCTTCTTCTTAAATATTAAAAGCTTCAGCAAAATTTTTTGACTTTACTTTTATTAACAAATCCATTAATATTACACCACTAGTTATTATATTTTCTATTTATAGATTTATTGCATGCTCTAAAATTAAAAACTTAATCTCTTTATATCTAAATTTTTGAGTAGAATCTTTAACTTTGTAACAGAATCTTTGAAATCATACTTCTATTAATCTTCAAATTAGAGTACATTTCATTGAAGTAATTTGTAATATTTATATGTCATTTGCTTTATTTGCTTCTGACCATTTACATATTTAACTTTTTATTTTATTACTTATGACTAAACAATGCTATTTTAGTTCAGGTCTAACAGGAGGCATTTTTAAAAAAGTTTCTTTTTTAAATAATGATTTGTTTCTGCAGATTTATATAATTTAATATATTACAGATATTGCATTAATAATCAAATGTGTTATAAAATGATAACTTTAAAAAAATCCTTTGTGAGCAAAATACTATTGAAATTCTTTTTGTTTATAGATAAATTTATATAGGAGAAAAAATAGATTAATAAATAGTAATTTAAAATAACTATGTAAGTCTAAAACATTTTACTTTAACTTCAATGTAATATAATATCTAAAGTTATCAAAATAATTATGAAAAAAATTGGGATGGTCTTTTTTTTTAAAAAAAAAGAAAACTAAGAAAACAGAAATTTATTCAAAATTTATATAAATTTATAATTTAAAATGGATTACATAAATTTATAATTTGAGAATTAATAATAAGTTGTATTACACATTTACTTACACATTTATCAACACATTTATCAAAAATGTCACATAAAATATTTTTTTATAGAATACTTAAATTGATCAATAAAAAATTATGTGATCACTAGAAGTTTAATTATTAATAACAATGATATGTATGTTAGAATTTTTGTGTGATAATGATTATAGCTAATATAAAAGTAATTTAATCATGCTAAAATTAGTTCTATAAAAATAAGTGCTTATATAGAAGTGTAACTTTATAGGGTATAACTGTATGGAAGTCTGACTGTATATTTACAACCAAAGTTTATTTTAATATATTTTAAATAAGATGTAATTAATACTATCTATGCAAAATTTTAAAAGTGTAAAATAAAGATTATCATTTTTATTTATCTTAAAATTATATTATAAAGTATAAGCTTTTAGTCTTACTATTTAGTATAAAACTGATAAAAATTTTATTTTATTAATTTATTATATTTCAGCACTTGCTTTTTTATCTCACAATAAAATTTCTATAACTTTTAATAAATTAAAAACTAATATGTAACAAAAGTAAACCAAATTTTAGATTAGTTTAACAATTATTATATTTATAAGAAAATTAAACATATATTAAGAAATGGAAATATAATTTGATTTGAATTATTATTTTTATCACTTTGATCTATTATTGATAATATTAAATATTCATTTCTAAGAACTCAAAATAATGTGAAGTTTGACATAAAAGATAGGAAATATTAGTAGATCATACTTATATAGATATATTTAAAATTATAAATAAATTATAAAATAAGCAAAAATAAGTGCAGTTTCATATAAATCTATTTTATGAGAAGTATCATAATCATTATAAAAAAATAAGATTATGAATGAGAAAATTATATAAATAATATATAATAATTGCAAAAAAGAGAATATATAAATTACTTTAAGGGAATTGCTTACAATTTTTCAATTTATATTTGTGATTTTATTAAATAAATGATATTTATTTATTGTAAAATATAAAATTTTCTTATCTAAACTACTGAATAAAAAATATATAATTTTAAAATTTATTATTTTTCAATAAAATAATTATGTTGGTAAAATAATTGTTAATAATCTAAATTCTAGTAAAATATACTTATCAGTTAAATAATTATTAGTTAAATGATTATCAATAAAATGATTGTTAATAAGTTAAATGTAACCTGATTATATAGGGCTTTATTAATAAAAATATAATAAATTATTAAATAAGAAGGAGTATTTCTATTGATAAAACTCATATTATAATTTTTAAATTATAATTAAATAATTTGATCTTTATCATAATAAAAAAAATTTATTTATTATTATAAATTTTTTTAAATAATTTATTAAATTTTATTAGATATTAAAATATATTAAAATTCAATATATAGATAATTTGTAATAGAAAAGAAAATATTAAAAAAAATTTTTGAATTAATATTAAATTTAAATTTATTTTATTAAAAAAAATATATTTAGCTTATAAAATAAAAATTTTTTTTTAGTAGTTTTCTTTTTTAAAATATTTAATTAGTAAAGTTTTTAAATTTATATAGTAATTTAGTTACAAAATAATATTTTAATTTTACTAATAATTAATTATAATTAAAATATTTATAAAGATATTAGAATTCTAATTAATTTAGTTTATTAATACATTTATTAATAAGAAATTAAAAAATAATAAATAAACTAAAATAGATTAAATACTAAAAAAATAAGAAAAAAAAACTAGAGAAAATTTAAAAAAAAATCAAAGATATATTGTAGACTAATTGTCTTTAAGAGAAATTTAACTAAAAAAAATTTAAGAAAAATTAATTGATCTTTTTCTAATTACATAATTTAATTAATATTTAGAAAACCAAATTTCTAATATTTAAATCTAAAAAATTCTTATATTTTCTAATTTAAAAACTTAATTTTATATAAATGCTAAAAATATTAAATGAAAATGCAAATATAATTTAATTTTTTTAATTTAATAAAGCTAATATATTAAATCTAGTTATAACTAAAAATGACATTAACCCTGTTTATTTCTAGATCAGATTGAATCAACTGAAAAAATTTATAGCCAATCAGATTGTAGTTGCAATTAAACATAATTTTAATTAATTGGATCGATTATATTATTTGTAATAAATATAATTGGCTTCTTTTATATGATATAAATCACAAAAAAAAAACTTATAATATATAGTGGTTACAAATGTTTTTAAAAGAAGAAAATGAAGAAAAGGATGAGAAAACTTTAAGTAATGAAGAAGATATATTATTTTATAAACAGCTTTAATAAGATAATAAATACACAGTATTTAGAATTAAGATTATATCATATAGTAAAATCAAAACATTGGTGACAAACTGTCCTTCTATTTTATGATTCTATTCAATTTAAAAAACTTTTGAGAATGTTTTCACATCATTTTCAACAATTAGCTAATCTTATACAATCCCATCCTATATTTTTATCATGAAAAATAAAATTCAAGCTTGTATTAAATTTTAATTAGCTGTGTTTCTTTGCCAACTTAGAACTACTAGAAATTTATTTAAGATTTGTTTAAGATTTGGAATAGGAGAAGGAACAGTGATTCTTTATACTAAATGAATTATTCAAATAATTATGTTGAAAAAAAAAGTTTTGTTAAATGGTTTATTTTAGAAAGCATAAAAAAGTTTATAGGGGATTTGAAAATTTAGAAAAACTTAAAGATATAATTGAAACAGTTGATGGAACATATATTCCTATGAATAATACTTCAAATAAAAATCCAGAAGTTTATTTTACTAAAAAAAAAATGTTATGCTATTCATTATCAAGATATTGTAAATTATAGTGGAATTTTTATTAGTTTTAATATAAGCTGACAGGGTTTAGTATATGATGCTTGAGTTTTCAAAAATTCATCTTTTTATAAAAATTATTCTCATCTTATTCAAGATGATGATTATTTCTTAGGTAATTTAACCTATTCTATTTCTTCTTTTTTAATTTTATCTTTTAAAGATCCTAATTCTTGAAAACATAAAAAATTTAATCAATTTCATTTACATCATTGAGTTATAGTAGAAAATGCTTTTGGAAGATTAAAAGCAAGATTTAGAATGTTAAAAGATCTTAATATTAAAATAGTTAAAATGGAAATTTTATTTACATGCTATATAATAATTTTACACAACTTTTTAGAAATGAATATAGATATTTAGAATATTGATTTTAATGATGAAACAAATGATACAGATAATAAAAATAATGAAAATGATAATTATATAATGAGAAATAGGGATAAGGTATTAAAAAGGACTGGGCAGGCTAAAATAAACTTAATTTTTTATCAACATTTTTCATAAATAGTATTATTAAATATATTTTTTATTAAATATATAATAATATATAAAGTTAAAATAAAGAATAATAAAATAATTAAAAAAAAATATAAAATGATTGGGGGAGGAAGAATGAAAAAATAACAATAATAAATAATTAAATAAAGAGAGGGTGAGTGGAAAGGAAGAATAAAAAAAAATGAAAATAATTTAAAAATAAGATCAGGGAAAAAGGAGGAATAAAAGTGAAATAATTTAAAAAAAAAATCAGATGAATTTGGATCAGATATTAAACGCCTATAAAGGTTAAATAAAAAAATTTTTTGTTACTTAGTAACAAATTTCCAATCAAATGTTACTAGTATAGATTTTGTATCAAGAGAAAGGAGGAGGGAGAAAATAAAAAAAATAAAATTTAAAAAATAGACTGGAAAGAAGGAAAAGAGAAAATTAATTTTAACTGGAACCTGTTTATAAATCTATAAACTCTGATGATATATTGAAAATTAGTATCTTTTTCTTTTTAATAATTTTAGTTAATATTACAAAGAACCCTTTTCTTTTTAATAATTTATAGAAATAGCTTAATTTAGTCTCAATATAAAAAACATATATATACACTAGTATTCTATTTCCTGATATGTTAAAATTTCATCAAGTTTCTCATTAAGTTACCATATAAAATATATTCTAATATATAATTATTATATTCTTTTTAGCTTTAATATTTATTATTTAATACTTGAAATATATTAAAACTATCATTGGTATATAGTAAAAAGAAATAACAATGTTAATACAAAGTTTAATTCTTATTTTAGTTTAAAATTAAAAGAATTTTATTTGATTTTTTTAAATTTATAGATATTTTAAGAAAGAAAACTTACTTTAAATAATTTATATTAATCTAGATTTACTGATTGAAGTTATTGCTTTAAAAGAAAAGGATGTTAAATCTACTTTAACTATAGAATTTAATATTTAATCATTATGAAATATTCATTCTTTTTTATAATTTATATTTAAAAAAAAATAATTTAATTTAAAAATTTCAAATAAATTTAATTAAAAAAAAAAGAAAATTCTAAGGACAAGACAATTGATTTAATAAAAAAGATATCGAAAGATATATGTAGAGAATTTTTATAAATCATGAAAATGGAACCCGCAATCTTAGGGTTCTTTTTATTTTTTTAATTTTTGCAATAAAAAATCCCAAAGTATTTGAATGTATAAGATTAAATCTTACATCTTTAAATAAATTAACATACTTTTGGTAAGGTAGTTTATAAATTTTCAATATTTAGAATGGTTTCTAATTGGGCATTTTGATAATTAGCTAGGAACTATCCTATTATATTCTCATTTTGTTTTTTTGATAAACTACAAGTGTTATACTACTAGGCTTAAGTAGATTCTATCCATTCTGTAATAAATCTTGCTTTATAGTTTAAAATTAAGAAAAAGTTAGAAAAAGTTCTTAAAGTTAAATAAGATGAGTTATCTGTAAATCCCAAAATCTGTTAAAGTGATCCAGATTTAAAAATTTTTTTCAAAATTCTCCTATCCAGATTTCTTATACTAAATAGGGATAAAATAATTTTTTAATTTTCTAATCAAAGGAATGAAAAGTATATTAAAATAAAAATTTTATTGATATAAGAAACTGATCTATTTTGAG